AAGTGCTGCACCTAGGGAGGAAAAATGTTCAGCATACCTACTGCCTAGGAGATGACCCGCTTGGAGGCATGGAAGCGGAAAGGGATCTTGGAGTCCTAGTGGACTCCAAGATGAACATGAGTTGTCAGTGTGACAAAGTCATCAGAAAAGCTAATGGCACTTTATCGTGCATCAGCAGATGCATGATGAACACAACCAAGGAGGTGATACTCCCCCTCTATCGGGCGCTGGTCAGACCGCAGTTGGAATACTGCATGTAATTTTGGGCACCGCGCTTCAAGAGGGATGTGGATATCCTGGAGAGGGTCCAGAGAAGGGCCACACGTATGGTTAAGGGCTTGCAGGCCAAGCCCTATGAGGAGAGACTAGGGCACCTGGACCTCTTCAGCCTCCGCAAGAGAAGGTTGAGAGGTGACCTTGTGGCTGCCTATAAGTTCATCATGGGGGCACAGAAGGGAATTGGTGAGGCTTTACTCACCAAGGCGCCCCTGGGGGTTACAAGAAAAAATGACCGTAAGCTAGCAGAGAGCAGATTTAGACTAGACATTAGGAAGAACTTCTTCACAGTTAGTGGCCAAGGTCTGGAACGGGCTCCCAAGGGAGGTGGTGCTCTTCCCCTACCCTGGGGGTCTTCAAGAGGAGGTTAGATAAGCATCTAGCTGGGGTCATCTAAACCCAGCTCTCTTTCCTGCCTATGCAAGGGGTCAGACTCGATGATCTATTGAGGTCCCTTCCGACCCTAACATCTATGAACTTTGTATAATAAGTGGGATCTTACAATGAAAAGCATGATTAGAAATATTACAATATGTTTAATTTTCTTCCAGGATTTTTCAAACCAATTACAGTTCAGAAATAGATATAAAAAGTGGTCATTTCAGATAATTAGTTTCCATGTGCTTTACAAAGCTGAAGACTCTTAAAAAGTGAAAATAAATGAAAAAGCTGGAGCTATTAATTAGGTCTACGATTAATGTTTATTACAGGTTACAGAGAATTTAGTCAGTCCTAAGATAAAAGGGTAAATGGTTGATATCAACCTTTATGCTATTTTAGTCATGGTCATATGGCATTTGTCACCTCATCTGCAATTTGACTATCATTAGGAAGTCACTGATTAGTAGCAAATATTTGGACGCTATTAGGGCTGTGCAAAGCTTTGGGTGCTGATTTGATTCGGAGATTTGGCCCGATTCCGTGGCTGAATCTCCAAATCTGAATCGAATCAGGGGACCAATTAAAAGGTCCAAATTGATGTGAAGCTTTCCGAATTGACTTGGAAAAAATTTGGAGAGCTTCGGCAATTTGGGCAGTCCCCGCCTGCTGCAGCAGGGAGCCAGACCTGGACTCTGTGCTGGTAAGTACGGGGCAGGGGAGGAGCAGCTGGAGGAGGGGGGAGGGAGGACCGTGGGGGGACCCCTGCCAGGCCCCATACCCTGCCTGCTCCTCCTGAGTGCCCCCCAACCCCCGCCTGCTCTCCCAGCCCCCGCCATGGCTGTCCCGCCTGCCCCAGCTCCCGATTGTTTTAAAAAACAAGCCCCCACTCACCAGGTGCTACCTGGTGGGGGGTGATCCCCGCTCCCCCACTGCCCCATGCCATGTGGGGGGTCCTGCCATGAGCCCCCCTGACCCCGATCTGCTCTCCCAACCCCCACCCATGGCTGCCTTGCCCACCTCAGCTCCCAGCCCTTTAAAAAACAAACAAACAAAAAAGCCCCCACTTACCGGCTGGGGGCGCAGCCCCACGGG